CCCCAAAACCCCAAAACCCCAAAACCCCAAAACCCCACATAAAGCTATTCATAAGAACATCTCATCAATAAATTATAAATGGAGGACTCTAAAACTCCCCTTGGCTTGATTCACAAACTTCCCCTCTTCAGCATCGTTATGCCCTACTATGGCTATATTCACGAATGAGCAGAGCTCATGCTCCAGTTGGACAAGAAGAGTAGAGAAATATGGCTGGGCAATCTCCAAGCAATCATGGTTATTATTTTTGACCATAGCAAGGCGACTATGGTGAAGAAAATTAACGATGAGCTTTCGTTGACTAGGTTAAGAATGTTGAAGATTAATAGCAATTATTTGTATTTTCGCCTATGAGTGAGGCTTGGCTCTGAAACATCTTTTAGAACAATGATATCATTCATTGAGATGATGGGAGAGGTATGTTTGGAAGATCAGTTTGAGATTATTTTTATTGCTATGGAACCTAGGACTATAGAAATTTGTCAAGTGTTCTTAAACAAATATCTTGAGAAGGGGTTGAACAAGAAAGCCCTCATGTTTGATTATTCCAGCACAATATATGAACTCAGAAATTCAAAAGATAAGGAGTTAAGTTACATTAATTATACTCCTTTTAAAGGCTACATTGAAGATTTCACAATCAATGCTGTATCTGAAGAATATTTAACTAAAAGTGATGAAATAGAAACATTATACATTCGATATTTATGGTATTCCCCTCGGATCCTAGACAAGAACTACAATTGACTTTCAGTGAGTCCAAAAGTGTTGACTGACTTCGAGGCTAAGATTTTGAGCTACAAATTTGTAAACAAAAGTTGTATAACCTTGGAGCTCTACAAAGGGGGCATCTATTTCGATAAACCTATAGTGAAAGGAGAGATAGAAGATATCTTTGGTTCCCTAAATATAGTTTCGGGCAAATTAAATAATCTTCAGAATTTCCGCACTAGATACACATCTCTGTTCGAATTTGTTTGCTCACAAAAATTCTTCAGATTGAACAAGGGCTTTCCACATTTGTCAAAAATTAAAGGTTTCGAGTTTAAAGATGATGTCGGTGATGAGTTGATTGGACTACAGTATAAGTGCCCTCAAGCTGAAATTGTATTCCAAGATCCGGAAGAGTTAAATATACATGTCTTTGTAGTTGAAAATCTGGAACTAAAGCTAAAACCTCAAGAATTCTGATATGACTCTAAAAATAAAATTTTAGTTCTGAAAGATAACCCAAGTGGGTTAAGTTTCCAAAATATCAAAGACTATAGAAGAGGTAGGAAGACTGAAAAATACAGACTAGAAATTTGAGGAAAAGTATACCTAAAACTACCAATAACCGACCCAATCCTTAAGCCTGAGGGTCACTTTCCTCCTAACCATAGCTCTCAGTGCTGAAGTATGAATTCCAAGCCCAGAGTGATGTCTATCACAAATGTGATATCTAAAGGGAGACCTCACTATATTTTCAGACTCTATTTTAATGATAAGGAATACTCAGAAACCTTATCAATGTATTTATTATGCCAATTTTTTAAAGAAGAAGATACTATTAAGTTACAAACAGGAGAACTAGACTGCTTTAATTGTTTCTCAGAAATCCCAAGAAACGGATTAGTGTCTGTCCATATCTATAACCATCCAGAACAATCATACAAGGAAAATGAAATGAGTTTGATCAACAATAATACAAAGGAAACAGCCACTAAAGTAGACTTAATGGATGTAATGTGTGACTTAATTGAAAGGATCAAAGACCTTAGCATTGATGAGTTCACATGCGAGATGGTCCTTAAAAATGACAGAGTACTCCAGAAGTTCTGTGAATTATGTGAACACAACTGTTCAATTAAAAGTATCAAACTCAAACCTTATTTTGAAAAAGATGTCAAAAAGATATTGAAGGCTTTAAGAAACAATTTCATGATAAAGAGTATAAGTTTAATGCACCAAGAGATTCAAGAGATCCCTGTTGGAGGTAAATCACTAGAAGAGAATAAACAAGAAGGTGCAGATTCAGTATATTTGAAGCCTATACAGGTCTCTCATAAGACCGTATCGTACTGAAAGAAATTCAGAAATAAGAGAATTGGGACACAAATAATGCTAAACCCCAAAATAGAATGTTTCCGAAAATGGGAGAACGAAAGCGACCATTTATTTGAACAAGATAGTCCTTGTATCATCTAAAGTTGGAGTTTCATATCTAGAACCTATCAGCCTCTAATTTCTAAAACCTGGGGATCTCTTTTAGGCATTATCACTATTTAGACTAACTTTCGTATTTCTTGGTTTTACGAGACTCAACATACTTTTGAGATTAGGGGTTTTGGGGTTTTGGGGTTTTGGGGTTTTGGGG